GGGTGGGTTGGTATGTGTGTGCCTATGAACGTATATGTATGTACATGTGTGTAAGTGTGGTGTGTGTGGTGTGTATTCAAGTGTGTGTATGTGTGTGTTTACGTTTTACAAACATAACATTATGTATTGTTTATTTGTTAAGTGATTGATTCTTCCACCTCAGATTCAACTTCCGAAAACAACGAAAGAGAAGCCAAAGAGCGCAGCATACGAGGCGGTGAATCTGTTACAGCGATACGGAAGCAAGTTCACCACGAAGGTATGTCATAATAGATAGAATTTTGCTATCCTAGAATTACAAAGCTCTATCTGACTTTTTTGCCGTTTTCAGTTACTAAGAACATGAGACCATTATGGAAAAAAGGGCAATAAACGCGACTGCACAACATATAGAGGCATCTCATTGTGAAGCCACTCAGGAATAATGTATGCAAAGATACTAGAGCAGCGCATAAGATTTATTGTAGAGAGAAATCTGAGCAAAGCTCAGTTTGGATTCGAAAATGAAGGGGATGCACGGATGCCGTATTCGCATTACGACAGATATGCGAGAAAAAAATCGAACACAACAAAGAATCCCACATCGTCTTTATAGACCGGAAGAAGGCTCTTGACAGAGTAAACAATGCAAGACTCTGGAAGACACTCGAAAAGTATGGCGTCAGAAGACAAATGTTAGATAATGTTCAGAGCTCTATATACCAACAGCAGAAGTTCAGTAAGAACGAAGGAAGGCAATACAGACTGGCCCAAAGTAAGATCTGGAGTACGACAGGGATGCGTTCTATCTCCCCTCCTGTTTATAATACATGTATATAGGGACAAATTAACGCAAGACGCTAACCAAATCCAAGAAAGCCTAAATGAATTTCTGTTCGCAGACGACCAATGTCTGATTCATCATGACCAACAAAGCCTCCAAAATCACACTACCGAACTCAACAACACCCGAGAGAAATTCAACATGAAAATAAGCACATCAAAAACAGAAGTTATGAAAGTGAGCCGAAACCATAGTCCCCTGAACATCCATGTCAATAGTAAACAACTGAAACAGGTGAAGGAGTTTAAATGTCTTGGCAGCACTTTTTCTGAAAACGGGTCCATAGACTGAGAAGTAAAAATGCGAACTCAAAAAGCCAACGCTGTCACCTACCAGCTCGCACCTCTCCTATCTCATCCAAACATCTCCTTGGACACAAAAAGACAGCTTATCACCTCAATATTCATACCAACATTATGTTATCAATGCCAGACCTGGACCTAAATTATGCAAAACCCATGAAAGCAAAGTCAACGCTTGCGAAATGAAATGTCTCCGCAAAACCCTTAACATCACAAGACGAGACAGGCAGAGAAATGAAGAAGTAAGAGCAGCTATCGGCACTGAGTCCTGCCTGCGTTACATAGAAAGACAGAGGATAAAATGGTTTGGCCACCTGTTACGCATGTCACCTGACCAGCCAGCCTTGAGAGTCTACAACACCAAGCACTCAGGCTATAAAGGAAGAGGAAGGCCACGCAAAAGGTGGATCGAGGGTGTCAAGGAAACCCTAAGAAAACATAACATCACAACTGAAAGAGCATCGGAGCTCGCCAACCATAGAAAACTGCATCTCCCCTCGACGCTTAACGGCAACAGAGGAGGAAAAAGAAAAGTAAAAGTAAGTAAGAACATGAGATTTAAAAAAGAAACAAACGTGTCACAACGCGGTGGATTCGGGCGCTCGTCAATTTTTGAGCATGTAGAGTTATTTGTGTCATCTTAAAGCTTGTTCATTTATATATCTCTGGATGAAAAAAATACTCATCTGTCTGTAATAGAAATCAAGATATTAGCAATTGAAAGAAGAAGGATCACCTGATTTCAGAGGTAAAATAAGGGAGAAAATGACCACCAAAGCCTGGTACTTTCCAATGCTTTACAGTTCTTGGAAACTGGAAATGTACCTTTTTGTGCCTGTAATTAAAGTTTTTCAGTAAATTCCACACAGAAATGTGTTTTTTAATGGGCATGAAAGGTGTTGAGCCAAAAAACAAAAATTCGATAAAAAATTTACAAACCTGCGGGAAAATGCCAGCGTCTTCACTTTCATTATTTTGATGAGCGCCTGATTTCACCACGCTGCCTCACAAATGGTCATCTGTTCTATCCAAATCTTAAGATTATTCGGAGTTGTTTTCAAGATATTTAACGAATTGCATTTAAAAAAGCTTGACATGATGTGAAACTCAAATCTTTGACGTCTTAAAATTAGGTACTGAGCAGATAGAACTTTATAATTCTGAGGTTGCATAGCGCAAATTCCCTCTCAACAGCAAGCTCTGTGCGCTTAACAATCTATATTATTACCCCAGCAGACCTGATAGCATTCTGAAACAAATCTCAACTTCCTGGGAACCATACTGTGCAAGCTGCCATTAAAGGTGCTAAAGCACTAACATACTGACAAGATTTTTCGCTGTCAATGGCCGGGTACTCATTCACACTTGGCTTCAGTGAGTAGAATTCGTGTAAAGTGCCCTTCCCATGTACGCAACGTCGGACCTGAGGCTCGAACCCCCAAACTCGCGATGTCACGATTACAAATCCGGTAACCTGACCACTAGACCACCGACGCCACTATTATGTGAGGGTTTTGGCTGCTTACTGTGACAGTGACCACAATAAATAAAATAAAAAGGGTTTGTTTTGTTTTGCCTTCTCTTTGAAAAGATTGTTCTTTTTAGCTTTTCCAGCGGTTGGACGTTACTTCTCAGACCTTTCTGTGATTAAGAAAAAACCCACTTTGTTTATCCCCTTTTTTTCGCCCCCCCCCCTCCCCCCAGGGTAGTCCCCTGCTTGTTCCACTTAAAAAGCATTTCACTGGATGATGATGATGATGATGATGATGATGATGATGATGTAGGAAAAAGGGGAGGGGGGTTGGGTATAACAGCAGTGTTGATGACAAACGCGGCGACGACAGTTACTGCAATGGGGATAATGACAACAATGCCGATGAAGACGATGGTTACCATTTCTTGGTTGACGATAAAAGGAAAAAAAGTGAGAATGGTTATCTGTTTTCCCAGGACGGCTGGACACTGCTGCACCGCTCCGCCACGTCTACCCCTGCCCACATATACGTCATGGCCAGCAACGGGGTACCTGTTAACGTTCAGAACTCGGTGAGTGTTTTGAGAGGGTGGCAAAAGTAGGAACATAAAAAGATATGGGACGAGGAGGGAGGGGTTAGAAATGAACTTAAAGGTTTGTTGTTTGGGTTTTTGTTTTTTTGTTGTTGTTTTTTTGGGGGGGTTGTTCTGTTTGTTTGTTTCTTTTGGTTTTTT